ACTAAACGTTTAATTTCTAAACTGAATAATTTTCCAACTAAATATTTAACTTGGGCCTAAATATTCATTTTCCAAGCTAAACATTTTATTTCCAAAATAAACATATAATTTGTTAACTGAATATTTAGCTTGGACCTAAATGTTTAACTTGCAATTTAAATATGTAGCTAAATATTTAGCTAGCAAGTTAAATATTTATTTTAAATTAGCAGCAAGATTTTGTTTTATTTAGCCTTTCATAAGAAAAAAAAATTAAAAGTCATATTTTTGCCATTAAAATTTACACTAACTAAATATTTAGCATAGATCTAAATATTCAACTTGCAAGTTAAATATTTAGCTAGCAAGTTAAATATTTAGCTTAGACCTAAATATTCAACTTGCAAGTTAAATATTTAGCTAGCAAGTTAAATATTTAGGTCCGAGCTAAATATTTAGTTAGCAAATTAAATATTTATTTTAGGAATTAAATGTTTAACTTAGAAATTAAGTATTCAGCTTGTAAATTAAATATTTAGTTAGGAACTATGACGTTTATAAAAGTATGGATGACTTGGTGAAAATATGACTTAAAAAAAAAAAAATTCTTATGAGAGGCTAAAATAAACCAAAATATTGCTATTAATTTTTGACTGTGTACATTTACAAACAGCACCCCATAACACTGTGTTGATTGTGCTTGCTTGCTCAATTCTACAAAGAAAACATGCCTACATGTAAAGTGAGTGTCCCAAAATAAAATGGTAAATAAATTTAAACATGTTGTATTTAGACCTCTCTTTTTTTTAATTAATGCTTGGAAATTTTAAATAGTAACACCAATTGTCTTGCCCCAATTATTTTATTGCTTTTAAAAACTCTTGAAGCAGAAAAAAAAAAACCTCTTACAACTCACACAGCTTTTTAAAAAAGTGGTATTCCAAGTCAGCATTTTATAAATATGCAGCTCACACAACTGCAGTCAATGACAGAGAGACACTTTTTTGTAATTATTTTACTGTAGATTTTTTTACACGTTTCCTGTGTTTTACTAGAGACAGTAAAATGGAACATAATGCCCACGTCTCATTTTGTGTATATGATCAGTCTTCCAGAATATGGTAAATAATAAAAACAAAAACTATTGGGACGGAGAGGTTTTACCATTTAATGTCACTGACGTTCCTTCACTTGAATGACAAACAGTCCATCATTAAAGAATCCACACAATCACGCATTTCAGATTTTTTCTGCCATTTTTTTATTCAACCACATTTGCTTATTTCAAAATAGAAAATAGTCTTTTTTCTGGATTATTCCGGCCATCACAGCTTGTCAGTGTGAAGTGGTTATCATAACGTAAGGAAGCTGTTTTCAAAAACAGTCACCCAGTCACAAGAGCAATTCTGGGGTGACACCGAACCACTTTAGCGCCCACAGTAATTCCTCTCAGAACCTTTGACCAGAACTCCAACTCGTTGTGGGGTAGGTCCACCAGGCAACCTTTCCCCATCTGCTTGTGGAGATAAAGTGGGGCTGCTTTATGAAGAAACAAAGTCACATTTTCCACCTTCACAAAAGATTAGCCTCTTCCCAAAAGGATATCACTTATTAATTCTTTGCTTTTTAAAAGTGCACAGTTTCCACATTGTTGGACAATTTTCCGACACTGTCACTCCGAATCCAACATATTTTCAGCATTGGGGTGTGCAGGAGACCTAGCACTTTCTGTGCCTCTGTGACTCAGGTATGCTTCACGGTGGGGACATGATTTGGAGTTTTATTTGCATGTCTGTAATGGCATTTCGACGTGTTGTGTGAATTTGCACATTTGTGGTTTGAGTTACGTGGTCTTTGAGGATTTTTTCATGGAGTGATCTTTTAAATGTAAATTAGCTTTGTTCCTGTGGCTCTTGTTGGCGCGTGCACAGGTTGTTCATCAGGGCGGGGTTTTGTAATGTGTTCTTTGCCTAGTGTACCTCTAGCTACTGTGGGGCTTGCAGTTTTTTCCACAAACCTCAACAGGATGCATGGTCTTCAGGTGGGGTGTGGTGCAAGGTGTTATCTGTTGAACTAGGAATTGGATGCACATTTACAAATGAATAACTTTTGGAGTCAGCCTGATTCAAGATGGCCACCACAGCTAACTGATTTAGTGAACACAAAAACGACCACAGCACAGTCATTTATTTTTATTTTATTTGTTACAACTATTAAGCTAAAATCAGGGGTGGTAGTAGCTATGACTGATACCCAGCTAGTCCAACAGATTGCACCACATCCATCCATCCACCATCGTTACCCGCTTCTTCCTTGTTGGGTCATGGGGGTCACTGGTGCCCATGTCCAGCAGTCACACCCTGGACAGGTCTCCAGTCCATCACACTTTAAGAAGTTTTCTTTTTTTTCATTTTGCTAGTGAAAACCTGAAACTACTTCTGTTTTACAAGTTACAAAAATAAGGAATAATGACACTAGTTAAGAGAAGTGAACTATCTCTGTTTAATTAAATAAGACAATAAAAAGCAATTAGTGTCTGCTTGATGTTTTTTGGACTTGGACATACCTTCTATTGCTTTTGAATATTGTATTTTTTTTCTATTTATTTATTATTCCAATGGGAATAATAAATATTTTGTCAGTCCCAGGTGCAATAATATCATTGTTCCCTCAGGTTGTGTCGTGAAACCTGAAAAAGTAAATCTTTATGAAGCAGGTGCTCATAATTTATTTGGTGATTTTATTGCTATCCGCTTTTCTTTAATCATCATTATATGCTCATATGTAGTATCTAATAATCTGTTCAATTCAGTTTATTTATATAAAACCATTTCACAGCAAAGGTTGTCGTGAGACATCCATCCATCCATCCATTATCTTCTGCTTGTTCGTAAGCCTCGTCAGAACGTCAACCTCACAGACCAAAAATGGAAATTGGTTCCACAAAAGAGGATCCTGATAACTAAAACACTTTGTCTCCTGGTCTACCATTAAAACTGAATTAAGCACAAGTAAATCAGCAGTTTGAGATTAAAGTTATTTGGGAAAAAACATTATTTTTTCTAGTTGGATATGATATAATACGTCTCTTATCCAATGTACATATGCTGTGGGGTGTGGGTCCTTCCATTTGCACAAAACCAGTCTTCTGGCCAGGTGAGAGCCAAATCACATCCTTCTCGTACTTGCTGAAGGACTTATCCACAGGGACCATCCCAGTAAGATGATTGGTAAAGGATGCACAGTTTTTCCACATATCCCAGAGAAGGGTCAAAAATAGATTGCCAAAAGTCTGCATTTCAGTTTAAGAGTCCAAACTGGTCTCATGGTACGAACTGAGCAGTGTGCAGATCTTACTAAGGCCCCCCTTGGTGTCAGACCTGCATTCCAAAATCTTAGCCACAAAATGTTTAGAGGGTACAAAGGAAAGCTATCAGAGTTAGATCTCACAAAATGTCTCAGCAGCTGGACATTAAACTTCTGTACCAGCTGCTCAAAAGAGGTCAATCTACCATCAACATAGAGATCATATAGTGAATGCACTCCCCTCAAGACCCAGGTGTCCAAAGCTGTATCAGCTACTGAGGAGTTCGTCTCCACGTTGAGAGGAGCCAGTTGAGGTGGCTCGGGCATCTGGTTAGGATGCCTCCTGGGCGCCTCCCTGGTGAGGTGTTCCGGACACGTCCCACCCAGAGGAAGACCTAGAGGAAGACCCAGGACACGCTGGAGGGACTATGTTTCTCGGCTGGCCTGGGAACGCCTCAGGATTCCTCTGGAGGAGCTGGACCAAGTGACTGGGGAGAGGAAAGTCTGGGCCTCCCTACTTAGGCTGCTACCCCCGCGACCCGACCCCGGATAAGCAGAAGAAAATGGATGGACGGATATTAAAGAACAAATTACAGATTTGCTCATGCAGTCAGGATAGTGATTTATGTGGGAAGAGGCTTTGATTAACGTTCAAAGATTTATTTTTCAAAACGAGGATAATTTCCATTGTTTTGGGCTTCAGCCTGCTCCTATGACTCTCTCTAACTTTATCTCCCAGTCCTTCAATCTGTGCTGTACCTCCGATGATCTCATTCTTAATCTTATTGTTTCGTTACTCAGGAGTGGAACATCATTATTTTCAGCTCTACCTCTTGCAATTCTCTCTCCTGTCTTTTTGTCAGGAGACCTGCTTCTGTCTCTAATTAGAGTCAGTATTTAAAAAGGTACATGTATTTATGTAATGGGACATTTAATTATTTGTGCATTTCTTAATTTAATGATACATTTAATTATTTAATGGGACATTTATTTATTTCATTGGGCATACACAATTATAAATTTCATGTTGTATTTATTTATTTATTTATTTACTTTTAACCCTCCCTTGAAAAGTAGGGGAACATGTAATTGCTTGTGTGTATTTATATTGTCTGCAATCAAAAAAAATCTCATAAACCACTGAACGGTTTTAATGTGAGTCCTGACAGATAACGCAACATTTTAGTTTTAAACTTTGACATGTTTAAAACAAAAGGCAATCTGCAATTTTTAGGAATTTGTTTTAATTTGTTTTTTGTTTCTGATTTGAGCTTTAAATCCCATTTATGTGCCTTTTAACAATGAAGCTAATCATCTATCTCTGGTATACATGACATGTCAATCAGTTTTAAAAACTGAATCTAAATTCATGTAGCATGTCATTTGAAAGAAAAAAAAATGTTTGTTTTTAAAACATCAACATCATTTGTTGAATCCATAAACTATAAAAATATATTTATTACTGTAGACAAAGGATGGATATGTACATTATATACTTATTCATACTCATCCTCTAAATCTAAACATTTTTCACACTATTAGAATTAATTTCGTTTATTCTTCTAAATTTGATTTTTTTTTTTGGTTTTTTTTGGTGTTGCTGTGTTAATAAAAATACAAATCCTAAAGCAGAAACTTTCCTCACTCTTTCCACAGGTCGTAAGTTTCTGATTGCCAATGCGAGAGTGGAGAACTGCGCCATCATCTTCTGTAACGATGGTTTTTGCCACATGTGTGGTTACACACGGGCTGAGATCATGCAGAAGCCGTGTACCTGCAACTTCCTGTATGGTCCTGACACCAAGCGCCTGGCTATCGCCCAGATGGCACAGGCCCTGCTGGGGTCCGAAGAGAGGAAAGTGGAGATCATCCTATACCGAAAAGATGGTAGGAAATAAATAAATACAGAGCGGTGTGCTGGGGGGATTTCAGAAGAGATTTTGTTACTGCAAAATAAAAAAAGGTTTATCTGCTTTGGGCCTGATGGCCCACAGGAGTTTAGGTACAAGTTTTATTGTGTGGTGTAAAAAATTATACTTACCCAATATGGTTTCTAAATGAGAAAGATGGTTTGTCTGTATTTTTAAAGGCAAGACGAGGCAGTGATGAAGTCTTGACAATAAAAAAGGTTAAATCGTATCATCTGGGCCAGGTTCTTTAAGTTCAATCAAATGTTTTAGGCCAGATGGCCATCTGGATGATTTATTGTTTTGGCTGTCTATGTTCTGCATGTGTTAAAAGCCTACTTTTGAGATTTCAGCAGAAGGTTGTCTTGAAACTCAGCAGTGAAGGCTACCTATGGGACAGATCTGGTTGGAAGGCTGTAGACTGCGGAAGTCCTCTGGATGGGGGACAAAACATTTCTCAGTTAAAGACAATGTTCCAGAGGACACAATTTAACCTTTTTTGTTGTTATCTACCTGGATGATTGAGCTTACAACCCTTTAATTCAATTCAATTCAATTCAATTCAATTCAAAATACTTTATTAATCCCAGAGGGAAATAATTTGTTGTTGTAGCTCGTTATCCTCATTTCATTAAGAGATGTTATAGATGCTGATGACTGTAGGCAGGAAGGATCTCTTGTAAAGGTCCATCCCACAGTGGATCCTAAGAAACTGGCTGCAGATGCCGTCCGATCCGTCCACCCAGACTCAGCTGGCCTCTCGGTTCCCTCGGGCTGTAGGACCACCCGAATGCCAGGCAGAAGTCATCCCAAAGCGATGGCCACTCCTCCCAGCAGTCTGCCGAACTCCTTGTCACTGTGGACAGCCAACTGTAGGTGCCGAGGAACGATCCTGTCCTTTCGCTGTCATGAGCCGTGTTTCCTGCTAGTTCCAGGATCTCAGTGGTCAGACACTCGAGCACAGCTGGCAGGTAGATGAGAATGCGTCCACAGAACATCCTTTTCAACTCATTTGAGATTTGGGGCTGTAGTTGAGATATTATTTGAGCGTTTGAGACGTTAATCAGCTGCTGTTGGTTGTAGAAAACTGCCTTGTTGCCATGGTTACGCATCATAACAAAATGTCCAAAACTAAAAAAAGTTTCAGTAAAAATCCTTTGAGCTGCACAGCATCTGATACCAGAGGAAACAATCATCAATCATCCAAAAAATGTGCTTTGCATTCAGCAAAAGAGGAATTAAAGTTTCCAAAAGCAAAATCTCAGAATGAAAGTAACAGAGCTGCTCCAACATGCAGCCACCTGGAGCGACGCAATTCAATTTAACTCTTAACAATGGTTGGCAGGTCTTTATTTCACCCAAAGCAGGACATTATCAAAGGTTGCAAAGTGCTGCAGAAGCTGGTAATACAGTAGTAGATCGCTACTTCGCAGTACATATTTTGCGGACTCGCTCTATTGCGGTTTTTCAAAATAAGATTGGACATGACACACAATTGGCTGAATGATGGATGAGCTGCAAGATCGGAATGGAATTTTTATTTACAATAAATTATTTTTAAAATATTTAGCACCTGCTGCACCTGTCTGCAGCCCACGCTGCAGGGTAAGCTTCCTGCTGCAGCTGATCAGCTGTTCTCCGTGCAGAGTGGAAAAGTGGGTGTGGCCAAGAGCACGTGCAGGTGGCTGGGAGCAGCGGAAGCAGAGAGAGAAATCATAAAATTCTGTGCTCTTTTAGAGCGTTTAGAGTTTAGAAACATTGTTTAGAATATTGCAAGAGTGTGGGAAGGGTTTAAAACACCTTTATACATACATACATTTATATATATATATATATATATATATATATATATACTAATATAAACTACTACTTACTACTTGGGTCCGTTTACACGGCGCATATTTTGAGTGCATCCGCAGGTTTCTCTCTGCGGTTCCGCTGATCATTTACACGACACCAGTAGCCCCCCTCTTTGAATCCAGAGGTTTCTGAATCCACCTTCCAGAGTGGAGGTTTTTCGCTGACCCCCCCGCTGATATTGTGAACATCTCCCGCTGAGGCTTTGTGTTAAACCACATGCGCACATGCACGCGCGGACAGACGCTATATTTCTATCAACATGGTGGCGGATACACTGCTTTCTGAACTACGACTGATGGAATATATTTTTAATCTCGTAGTTAATCTACGTCAGATTCCAGGTGCTGTGACCAACATCTGTCTTGCAAGAGACACAGTTTGATCCAGTTCTAATGTCATTGTTTATAGAACGAGGCACGCATACACGTCGCGCTACACTAGAACATACTATGTGCTAAATAACAGGTTTAATAATGATAAACAGTATTTATCTTAAGTTTGCGATATATAATGAAGCTATCTGGACATTATGTAATTCAAATTATGTGAATAAAATGACGCTAAACATATTGCATGTTATTAAAGTTGAAAATGAAGACATCAGGTTTAATTTTTATTTATTTATTTATTCAACACCACAAACTGTATGTCACACAAACACTGATAATTAAACTGAACACACTATTAAAAATAAGTTAACTGTAAACTGCGTTAATGAACCGGACTCTTCCTCTGTTTTCATCCTGGATGTCACACGTTGTCCATCTGGCTCGTTCAGGAAGTCACTCCTTTGATTAATGCAACTTAAAACATTCAGCATTCATACAGCTACTGATTATCAAGGAATAAAGTCCGACATCGTCGACTCAGTTCTGGTCCACTCAGCGACCGGTGTAGAGCTGTTAGATGAAGCGGTCCCGCTTGGCGTCAAATTTGTCGACTCTTATCCAAAATCCAGCTTTAACTTGCTGTTATGTTGTTGTTAGCTGAGCTTTTAGCCCAGAGGAAAACAGTGTGCAGAGGCAGCACTATGCGCATTAGGTGAAGGTACAAAATTCACAGCGCCATCTAATGACCCGGCATGGTAACTACAGCGGATTTGGGAGGGCGGGGGGGGAATCCTCCGGATGCATGTAAACCCAAAATCCGACCGTGTCAATGCAAATCTTTTCCTCTAATTAATATACAAAAAAAAACTATGTTTCCCCCCATCGTGTCCGTGTAAATAGGGCCTTGTACTACTATTTCTACTTTGCAGTTTTTCACTTATCGCAGGACTTCTGGGTACGGATCCCCTGCGATAAACGAGGGACTACTGTGTATTTGGGTCACTACAAGAAAAAAACAGTTTAGAATCAAGTAAAAGAGTAAAAAAACACGAAAGAAAAAATGATTAGACAAATACCTCCATGTCATACCGCTAAGAGACAGCTTTTTGACCGAAAACGTTACCTCTTTTTTTAGTTACCGGATCTGAAGAGTGAGCTGGAGGGTCTTCGCAAAACTCCAGACTGGAATTTTTAAAAAAATTGTCAAACAAAATCATTTTGAGCGTACTAATATGGGGAAATTATTCTTTATTTTTTCCTTCAATAATTGCTGTCAATAAAAAATCCATAAATAGGAGGATTTATTGTCAACAAAAAACCCTAAAGAGTTAAAATTTCGAAAATGTCATTTAAATTGAGTATTTTTATTAAAAGTTTTTGTGAGGTTAAAACAAAAAACAAAAAACAAGACAATTTTTAATCAGTCAAATAAGGTGGTCGGTTTCCCCCTGTGGAACATTTACTGTCATAAAGTTAAAGGGACTTCCAGGGGTCAACAATCGTCACTAAACATCTAACTGCAGAGAGCAGATGCTGGAGTTTTTGGAACTGAAGTTCCAGACTGAACGGTACTAAATTTAGATACATCAGTGCTCAAAGGAGCAGTGGGTTCTGTGTGACATGTGAGGTGAAGTGGTGGGATGTGATTACTTGGCAGCAGTAGCTAAGCAAAGAGCCCAGGAGCCTCTCAGGAGAGTTCAGCACCGTGTACTAAGAGTGAGTCCACCTCTACTTTGGAGCATGAAATGAGAACAATCAAATCCAGCACAAGCAGTCAGTTCTTTTCTACGCATAAAAAAATAACAGGTACTAAAATATAGGATGTTGATTTTATACCAAACTATAACAGATTTTCTTGTAAATACGTATAAAATACTTGACGTCACCGTATTGCAAAGTTTAAAGCACAGGTCCTGTAAATAAGATGCTGTATGACATTATAGATTGATGATTTATTTTTTTCATGAACAGTAAATTATTGTCAGTTGAGTTTACAGTATTTTATTAACTGACAGTAAGAGCTTTGTTCTCATTCTGACATAATGTTACTAAGTTGAAAGAATTTAGTACTTTGTAACTTTTTAAGACATTTCACTATTGCTTACAGCAAGGTTGTTACTTATGATCAAACTGTTAATGTTGCAGAATAAAGTTAATACCGTATTCTCAGTGTTTTTGCAGTGATGGAATCCATTGCATTATAATGCTGCACCTTATTAATTTAAAAATAAAATACTGCCAGAAGGGTTGCTAGTTTTCTACAGCTTTTTCTATAATATTCTCTAAAATTTAGTTTATTGGGGACTGTCACTTATTATTCTACACCTCGGAAGTGAGTCTACATTTCTATCTCTGTTAATGCGGCCCGAACCACAGCGTCTACCCCCACAAAAGTCATATCAAAACGACTGGCTCGGCCCGTGATGTGTGCTATTACTATTATTGTCATTTCGAGTTACCATGGCGATGTAATTTGTGAACAAAGACGCAATATTTCACCAACTCGAGGAACTAGTTGGTGACTGCCCACTTATTATTCTACACCTGAAAAGTGTATCTTTTTCAACTTTAATGCGGCCCAAACCGCAGCGTGGACCCCCACAAAAGTTACATCAAAACGACCGGCCCGGCTCCGGGAAGTGTGCAAATACTTTTATTGACATTTGCAGTTACCATGGCGACATATTTTGCTAACAAAGATGCCAAATTTCCCATAGGAAATGAATTGGAGAAAACTCTTCAGAGAAACTGAATAACGTATGGAGCCATTTTGGTTCAACATGCAAGAAAG